ACACGAAAAGAAATTTCTAACCAGCTGGTGGGATACGAACCCACGCCCTTGCGGACTGACACCTGAAGCCAGCGCCTTAGACCACTCGGCCAAACTGTCGATGAGTGCTTCAAGATTCATAGCCGAGGTGATGCATCGCTCTGCCAGACCAAAGGGCACAGAAATGGGTTGAACGGTATCTGCGAGCTGCGATGGCGCAATATCGATCAGAAGGTTTTGGTCTTGCACTACCTCGCTTCTGAAAAGGTCTCGGATTTTAATACAACACCAGTCAGGTATATAGACTGACAGCTGTGGAGTTCGAACCCACGCCCTTTCGGGCTGGCGCCTTAAGCCAGCGCCTTAGACCACTCGGCCAAACTGTCGATGAATGCTTCAAAAATCATAGCGGAGAAGATGCGTTACACTATAGGACATGACACAAAAACGGTTTCGAACCGTTCCCGCGGAATGCGTTCTTCATCAAATCACACGAAAAGAAATTTCTAACAGCTGTGGGATACGAACCCACGCCCTTGCGGACTGACGCCTGAAGCCAGCGCCTTAGACCACTCGGCCAAACTGTCGGTAGGTGATTCAAAAATCATAGCGGAGAAGATGCGTTACACTATAGGACATGACACAAAAACGGTTTCGAACCGTTCACGTCATGCCGTTCGCAGTTGATGGAGGTTCTGTGATGGGAGTTTTGGCAATATGTCACGGACGAGGGTGGATCTCACAAACCCATGTGGGAAGCAGTCCACGTCCGTGACGCATTCAGTGCCCGGGATAAAACACGGCTATACCAATCAGCCACCGTGCAGATCCCGGGTGAATGCCCCCCATCTCAGATAGAAAAAAAATATAAACACCGTCACACCCAAGATAGCTCGTCTGATGCCTAACTAAGAGTGCTTGAGGGTTTCCAACAGGAAGTCTCAAGCACTCTGGGGGAACTTTCTCTGTACTTGGGTGTGTGGTCCGAAGGTGATCAGACTGGATCACTGCTTTAGCAACGACTTGACGTCTTGCTTTTCTCTTGAAATTCCGTCATCTGTCTTTCGGCTATCCGTGAACTTGCTCTCTTGGGAGACCTTCACTCACGTCATGCCGTTCGCAGTTGATGGAGGTTCTGTGATGGGAGTTTTGGCAATATGTCACGGACGAGGGTGGATCTCACAAACTCATGTGGGAAGCAGTCCACGTCCGTGACGCATTCAGTGCCCGGGATAAACACGGCTATACCAATCAGC